GTGAATAAGGTGGATGCCCCATCACAGTGATATTTTTACTGGTCAGAAACTGCTTGGCAGACAGTGCCGTATGAGCATTGTCCTGGTGCAACAGCCATCCATCGCTTCACAACTGTGGCCTTTCTTTCCTAATTTTTTCATGAAGTCTTTTTAGTATTTCGATGTAATAGTGTTAGTTAACAATCTGACCATTGGGAAACCACGCAATCATTACAATTCCATTAATGTCGAATTTTGATTTTGACATGCGTGCTTTTTCAGGTTTTGGGGATCCTGAAGATTTTCACTGCATCGACTGGTGCTTACTTTGTGGGTCATAGGTAAAAATCCATGTCTCATCACATGTTACAACAGATTTCAACAAATTTTACAAGAAACTTGATGTTTATTCGCTATTCGGTTTTTACGTTAGACATTTTTCCGGCAGAATGCAGTTGCACTTGTTCACTAAATAACACAATACTTCCAAATGGTATGACCGATTCAAACGAAATTGGCAACATGGATAGAGGAGGTATGTGGGATGATGCCATAAAAGCAATTGCTGCCAATTCCATTGTTTTTTCAAGCTACAGACCTAGTCTCGTTACTTTTGTGTCACACCTCGTATACTAGGGGGCGGTGCCCCCTAGCCGCTTCGCGGCCCAACCCCCCGAAGCGCTTCGCGCCTATTTCGTGTCAATACGCTTCTAAAGTGACATGGTGAGTGGACCTTGGACTGTGGAGTAGAGGGGGTAGCAATCCGCGTTACAGCGTTACGCGTGACACCGTTACCTTATGATTTTATACTATAGAGTAAGATATTAATTATCTTATGATTTTGATTTAGAATAGGTAATATGTTTCACAAAATCAAATATTAAGTTAGAACAATTAAAACCAGATTCGTGTATTATTTTATTTTTATTCTAATAAATGTATAGTTTATATGAGAAATTTCCGTTATGGTAGCCTACGTGCCGAGATGCTCGCTCCGAAATCCTTGAAATCAGCCCTAATCCTAGAAAAGGATAGAGACACTATTTCTATGTACGGCATTATTAGACATTAAATTAAATAATTAACTAAATGAAGTAATATACGTAAAATCAACCAGTACTATACTATTCATAACCGGAATCAAAATTATTCGTAAATCGGAATAGATTCGGTGTTCGGCCGCGAACCGAAGACTTTGTCGCGATTAAAGAATTTACAACAGGGTTCAAGTGGTTCGGCGCGCGGACCGCCGTGAACCGTTCATACCTCGAAATACGGGTCATCGAGGACCCTTTTGTCTCTCAGATCCGGTCCGAACGAATCTTACCGTAGACATGTACGTATCATAAACCAGCTACAGCTGTACCTCTCGCTTAAACAGTTTTTGACGAACAAAAGCATAGAGTTCTTCCTAACCGTTACCTTCGGAAACGCGAGGGTATTTAGGCGATTTTTCGTACAACGAAAAACACAGTCGAACGTTGAAGCTTGCACGGTTCGGATCGAGAGTCGAAAAAGTCAATCGTGAGTTCGAAAGTTCCGCAGGCTTTTTCCCCTAATTCGAATCGCTAGAGCCAATAAACGATCACGATTTGTCAGGCTCAATTGTGTCTAAACAATTTTTATTTACCCTCTTCCTCAATCGAATTCATATATTCCTTGAAACACGAAATTTCTCCATGTTGGACAGATTTCGACGATACATTCGGCTTAAGTAGAATATGTGCGCAGTTGATAGAAAAGGACAGAAAATGTGTTTTTCGCTAAAGCACCATTGTACTATTATTTTAATACCGAAATGTTAGCCACTAATTAAAGAGCGACATTAAAAATATAATTAAACCATTCGATTTTATAATTAATGTATAATAACGAATTTATATGAAAATTTATATATTCTGACGTCACAGAAATTCCAGGAATTCGGCGAACCTGCGAGTATAAAAGGGCGAGCAAAACCCGTCTAAAGAGCAGAACAGTTTTCGCAGTCGAGCTATTCACAAGTCTCTTTGATAAGTGTAACCGGAACAGTTCTCGCTGCCAAGAGCCGAAGCGATTCTTGATACTTGATTGGTCAAGCGGGTATACACCATTTAGATACTTGGTCGTGGGTGTTCTAGTAGCTAGGTAACGCAGGCTCCCCAATTAACCGATCTGGTTTCGGCTGTCAGTGTTCGTTTTGGCTAAAAGGGCCATGGACAATTAGTTGTCGAGTCGACTTATTAAAAGAGTAACTGTTCCGAAGAAATAATTCGTTAGATTCAGATAAATTTTAGTAATTTGAGTTATTAAAGAATACTGTTCTGACTCTAGCGTAATTTACGTAGTCGACTACACCGCGTTAGATTTTGCGAAAGTGTATTTAGGTACACTTAGAGAATCACACTTAGGTCGGATTCTTAGCTGCGGTGGACTATGAAGCACTAATATTATTTAATTTTGTCAGAGAACATTTATATAAATTACATATAAATTTATATAAATTACATTTATATAAAACCTAACCTGACCGTAGAAATCAAGCTAAATTTTGTCATCGCGATAGCTTCGAATACGAGAATCAAATATATATGTAGAATATCAAATTTAGTTAATTTTATAAAAGCGAAGTTAGCTTTATCAAAGATCAGACTTAGGTACGATTCAATATAAAGTATTAACTAGCGAGTTTCATTTTGTTAATCTCATAATTATCTATTACGTACTGTTTAATTTGTCGAATTCTATTATTTCTATTATTAATATTATACCAAAATCTATTTAGTTTCTTTTGTTCCAATTAATCAATTATAATCTATATATCTTTTTCACCTTTTTTGTTGTTATTGTTATTTGTTAACTTCATTTTTCTTATCGTTTTATTGAATAAACCTTATTGTTGAAAGATATTGACCTGTGGATTTCACTCCTTAACCGCACACCACACGAATGTTGAAATATATTGACCTGTGGATTTCACTCCTTAACCGCGCACCACACGAATCCCACATTCTTTAGATTTAGTTATTTGCAAAACAAGTCGTTCAGTAAGTAAAAGCTGCTCTTTACCTTCCTAGCGTTTGTAACATCTGAACTTAGGTTCTAGAGTCGTTACAGTTTCTTGAATAAACGAAGTTCCACAGACTTATGAATAGTGAGAAAAAAAAATTTGCTACAACATTGTACTAAATTTTGATAATTTTTTACGAGCCTTCCTTATTAATATTCAGAATCACATTTATGTTTGAAGTATTCTCACGTGCGCTATATGTTTTTATATTAGCGTATGTGTAATCGTAATACTAGTTCTCCCAATAATCAACAATATCTTCGTTGCAAATAAGAAATGTAAAAAATAATTTTCAGAAAAAAAAATACACCGACTTCGAAATGCAC